GATGATGATGATGATGATGATGATGATGATGATGATGATGATGATGATGATGACGACGACGACAACGACGACGACAACAACCATGACAGTGTACAAGTATGTTGACACTTACTGTCGGTCCTCAGCGGCCGGAGAGTCGTGGTGGTCCTAGGTGTGGTGGGCCGGGTGGTGGGGGGCCTGGAACAGAGCAGGGGGACACATCACAACTTACTCTTCGTCATAAAATATTTGATATGATTAATACATGGTCGCTTTTAAAGACAACCCGGCTTACCCAGATTTCGGGGTTTTCCACAAATCTTGGCCTACACCAAAAGTGGGCATTGCTCTACGTAAAGGAGAAGTTTGGTTTCATTGGTGTGTATATTATTATTAATTTTTTTAGTTATAGAAAAAACTCTCCTTGTCTTTTAAAGAAACTGGGCAAGGGGCAAAAATCTTTAGTTTTAATGTTAATGAAAGTTTTGCAGCACTTTTAACACAAATATAAGTGGCGAAGCTTAGTGGTGCAACAAGAGAGTAACATACAAAGAAAAGAAGGAAGACAGATAAGGACAATAGAATTTTGATAGAAAAGAAGGAGCAAATCAAATTAGAACACTCGCCAACCACTCTTCTGATCATGTGATACTTTGCTGAATAAATTAAAGATTCCATATGACAATGTTGTGTTAAATAGTGAGGCGTTGAAAAACACGTATTTAAAATGGGTTCAGTGATAAGCAATGACACATTAAAAGGTCTTCTTGCAGTCACAACAACGTGATGGAATCCCATTATAAATGTAGTTATTCACCTGTTTAAATATTGATAAGGAGTTTTGCTAACTTACATATTTAATTTAGAAAAATTAATTTGAAATTACTTGAATGTGTCTATCAAAATTGTGTTCAATGATTGACTGATTGATTGATCATCTGACTAGGTAATCAACAGATTGATTGACTGACTGTTTGATTGATTGATCAACTAATTTATATGATTTTATGTTCCACAAACACTCGTCGTTTATACCTCGTGTTTATGTTCCACAAACACTCGTTGTTTATACCTCGTGTTTATGTTCCACAAACACTCGTCGTTTATACCTCGTGTTTATGTTCCACAAACACTCGTCGTTTATACCTCGTGTTTATGTTCC